TCTTCTTTATTTTAAACTTTAACGTTTTGGCTAAAAAACGGGATTTTTATAAATGAATTAAATATATCAAATCTTAAATAAATCAATTGAAGTTCGGGGCTGTTATTTTGACTGGAAAAGGCAAAAAGAAACGGAAGACGTGTTGCTGCTTGACGTTGCGCCATTGACACTTGGCATTAAAACAGCTGGCGGTGTGATGACGACACTTATCCCACGAAACTCGACGATTACAGCAAAGAAGTCACAGATCTTCTCAACATATGCAGACAACCAACCAGGCGCCCTCATCCAAGTCTTTGAAGGCGAGGCATCCATGACATCACACTGCAACCTGCTTGGCAAGTTTGAGTTGTCTGGCTTTCCACCCGCACCACGTGATGTCCCCACAATAGTAGTCATATTTGACACAAATGCAAATGGGATTCTGAATGTCTCAGCTGAAAACAAGACAACAGGAAAGAAGAACAAGATCACAATAACAAACGACAAGGGAAGACTCTCAAAGGAACAGATCGACAAGATGGTTGCAGACGCAGATAAACTTAAGGCGGAGGACGACAAGATGAAGGAGCTTGTCGAGGCAAAGAATTGACTTGAGAACTACTGCTACTCGATGAAAAACACACTCAACGAGCAAATTGCAGCAAATCTCACCAGACGACAAGGCGGCAATTGAAACAATTATCAAGGAGACACTCGACTGGCTCGATAAGAACTATTTAGCATCAAAGGATGAATACACACTGAAACAAAAGAAAGCTGAGGCTAAGGTAGAGCGGATCTTCATACAGATATCGACAGAATAAAACTGGAACATCAAGGAGTTTACAACAAAAAACCAACGAATAAACAAAGGTTATATTAAAACATGTTTTACTTCTGTGTTTTTTTACAGTTTTCTACAAAATAATTGAACAGAACATTAATTATACTGTTTAATACATTTATGGTTTTTAATTAATTATATTAAATAAACTCCATAATAGTCACATTTGATAATTATTCATTTTAAGAATTAAATATAATTACAAAGAGTAATTGAAGTGTTCTTATGGTGGGTTTGGTTTCAATTGTATTCAAAATGGTAGTAAATTTAATAATTCAATAATTTGTTAATTTAAATAAATATTATTTAAAATGTGATAATTTGTAATAGTAAATATACTAATGATAATTAATTAAATTATACTATATATACAGACTGTAAAAGTAATATACAGTAAGACCTCGATTATTTCCAAACCTTGACATTTTACAAACCTCGACAATTTCAAAGATTTGATTGGTTGTTTGAAGTTTTTTGGAAAAATGCGAGGTAATCTAAAGTTAGTTAATTTGAATTATTAACTGATATAACAATTTACTAAAAAAAAAATCAAAATCTTCAATTTGGAAAGTGTAGTAAACTGTTTTCCAAAAGTCGGTACCGAAATTACCCCAATATTTGCTAAATAAACAACCCATTTTTTTTCTTTTCTTTTACCTCTGTTTTTTATTCATTTTTCTTCGTCTTATTTTTCAAATAACTGTCTTCCACTTTTATCTTTTCTCGAACAAACAAAATATTCGCATTATTTTTCCCTCCAAATTTCTAAATAACTTTCTTCAAAGAAAAAAAGACTTGACAAAATAATCGATTTTGCCGAAAAGTTAGAAACATTAATTTTGAAACCCAAAACAATTTGAATAACAAAAAAACTAAATAATCATGTCTAAACCAAGAAAAAGTTATGAACGCGAGCAAGAAGGGAAGAATGAGAGGGTCAAGATGGCTTTTGAAAGAGGACTGTCATATCGCGAGATCCAACTGCTTTGTGGAGTTTCCAAAACAAAAATAGCTAGTATCAAAAGGGGAGAGGAGACAAAGCCAAAGAAGATGGGAAGACCAAAAAACATCAGTGTTAATGTTGCTCAAAGTGTTGTCACACGAACATTAACTAACCCATCTTCTTCTTGTCTTATGGTTTCCAACGATGTTAAAGTTTCTCTTTCAAGTGTCTATCGTCTTAGAAAAGAGAACAAATTTGTGTTTGCAAAGCAGAAAAAAATGCCGGCTCTGAAACCATTACACATAACAAAAAGACTTATTTTTGTTAAGAAACAGCTGGCAAACGCAAAGCGTATTTTGACGTGGACCAAAAACACTCTCATTTCCGACGAGAGTCGTTTTTGTTTATACTCTGACGGAAAATATGTTTGGAGAAGACGTGGAGATCTTGATAAGGAGGCGTTTGTGCCAACTCCCAAGTTCAATCGGGGTGTGATGGTGTGGGCAGCAATTGGGCGTCATTTCAAGTCAAAACTCGTTTTCGTCGACGGAACACTGAACGCGGTAAACTATCAAAAAATGTTGGCCGAATCAAGAGTGTTTGAAAACGCGAAGAAGGTGTACAAACACGGGATGGTGTTTCAACAAGATGGTGCAAGACCCCACACAGCGAAAAACACAATTGAATGGTTTGAAGGCTTGGACCCGAAGCTCATGGTTCGACTACTGAAAGAATGGCCTGCAAATAGCCCCGACCTCAGCCCAATTGAACACTTATGGCAATACTTGGACACCTTAGTAAGAAAAGAAAAGGAAATCTTCGAGAACATTGAAGAACTCAAAGAGGCTCTTGAAAGGGCTTGGGATTCAATACCTCTTGAGACAATTGATAACTACATAATGTCGATTCCAAAGAGGTTTGAATTGTGCAAGGAAAACAACGGCGAATTTATCGGACACTTGCTTTAATCCGTTATCAATTTTTTTTTATTTTTTTCTTTTTGAACTCGTTTTATCATTTCTTTGTTCGTCTTCAGAGGATGTTTGTTTGTTTTTTATATGTATTCAAATTGTTTTCATTATTTTGACTCGAAAAGAAATAACTGTCTTAGAAAAATTGCAAAAGACTTCCCAACGTTTCGACAAATGCCCGAAAAATTACGAAAATAATATAATTTGTTTGTTTTTTTAGGTCAAAAAAGTCGGTACCGTTTTTTGTTTTTTTTAAAAAGATAAATAATAAAACAAAGTCTTTAATAACAATAAAACGGGAAAACAGCTAATAATAGTTTCTCAATTTTTAGCGGTAGTACTTACTTTTGAAATACAGTTTAGTGTATAAATTTTGCGGATTTTAGATAAACCTCATTTTATCTATATTTTTTAATAATTTAATTAAAATCGCGAGGGACGCGAATCTGAGGATCTTTTAGTAGTATATAAATTATGTGGATTTATGACAATAACATTTTTTATCTATATTTTCTAATAATTTTAAAATAAACGCAAAGCTCCCTATTGAATTTAATTATAGATCAATATTTATAGTAAATTTATATTAATGTAGTAATCTAAGTTTTATAGTAAATTTATATTAATGTAATTTTTTATCTTCCTTAAAATGACGGAACAGTATATGAATGAAGCGTTTAAAAAGTATATCGAGCTTTGTCCTTTACGGTTATTATATAATGAAGTGTTTGATGAAGATATTGATGAATTTATAAATGATTCTGAACATGTAAGTGAAAATGTTAGTGAAAATGTAAATGATCATGTTTATTATAATGAAGAAGATAATAAAGTTGTAGCTAACTTAGAATGTGATTGTTCAACATTTAAAACAAGAATTAATAAATTTAAAGAATACTTTAATCAGTTTATTAGAAATAATAATATAAAAGATATAATTGTAAAATATTATGTTAGTCCTAATGTTATTCAAAAAGGTTATGAAATATCGATCTGTTTAAATAATAAAAATAATTATCAAAAATTTCAAAACTTTATGGATCATGGTTATTGTAAAGGAAAAGATGGTAGAATTTTCAATGTAATGAAATTACATTGATGATAATTTAATAGATATTTCATAAACTGTAAAAACAAAGTAATATATTTTTCATCTTATCTGAAGACATCTATTGAGTATGTTATTTTTAAAGTTATTATAATAATACTGTTATATTTCTTTATTAATAATATATTTAGTTATGTATAAATAATATATTTTTATTTTTATTCTCAAATAAATGAACACTGAAAATACTTAACAGCATTTAAATACCAAATGTAAACACGAGTCTTCAGAAAAGACGAAATCTACAATAAAATCATTTTTCAAAGATTTGTTAAGTTCGGATAAAAGTAAACACACAACAAAGTCGGACGTAAGCTGTAAAGAAGTAGTACACGGAGATCATACACAAATTAACAGCTCTGAGATTAACAGTTCTGAGATAAACGATTATGATATTAATTAAAATGATATCATTCCATTAGATATTAACAATTTAACAAAAAACTCGATACCAAACACAAATCAAGACACCAAGTCTTCATCAAATATAGAAAAACAGTTGTCTGACAATTTATCTAAACATGTAATCGTATTAAAAAAAATAATAACCAAATATGATTTAAAAGATCCGTTAATGTTAAAAAGTTGTAATAAAAAAATAAATAGATATATAGTTAATAATCCAGATGTAAATCTAATTGATACCAAAGATCTTAATGCGTCTATATTTATAAATGGTTATGTGTTTTGTAAAATTAAAGGAAAACAAACGTTAATTAAGAAGCAAACCAGAATAACTAAAAGTGATCTTGATTACAAAGTAAAGAAATCAGAAGATAAATATAATGAAGATATTGAATATATTAAAAATAAACTTGAAAATTTGGAAAAAGATCATCTTAAATTAAATGATAATATTAATACAAAAATAATACCAATATTAGAGTATTATCTAAACACAAATAATATAGATGTAAATAAACTTATTAACATTTAAATATAAAGCTAGATGTTAAGATTTTTAGATCCACTATACACTTGTTAACAACATTTCTATAAATTCTTTATTAAGATAATTGTAATATATTGTTTTATATTTTTGTAGAAATGGTGTTGGATATGTGTAAGAATATTTTCCTTCTTTTGTAGAAAAGTTATATACTTTATTTCTTAATGTTTTAATAGTAATCTTATCTTCTATGTTTTCGATTTCTAAACTATTATAAAAAACTTTAACCATTTTAAGGAAGATAAAAAATTACATTAATATAAATTTACTATAAAACTTAGATTACTACATTAATATAAATTTACTATAAATATTGATCTATAATTAAATTCAATAGGGAGCTTTGCGTTTATTTTAAAATTATTAGAAAATATAGATAAAAAATGTTATTGTCATAAATCCACATAATTTATATACTACTTTGTGTTCGTCCAAACTATACACATTTTAAAATAATGTAAAAAACGATAAGTGAATGAAGAATATAAAGTTTTTTATTTTATTTATTATTTATTATAATTATTATTTATAAAAATTAACTATAAAAATAAAATATAATAATTAATAAACAAGAGAACACAAATTATTAATATTAGCTATATGAACACTTTTGCGGTCAATGAAACAGTTTATGCCGATGTGTGTGACTGTTGTTGGTACGTCTATATCAAGGGAAGTGCACTTTTCAAAGCAGTAATCACCAATGATTTTTAAATGAGATGGAAGGATGATGTTTGATAAACTTGTGCACATACTAAAACACGACAAGCCCAGTCTTGTGATATTTTGTGGTAAGACGACATTCTTTAAATTGATACAATTACAAAAGCACCGACTTTCAATGACGGAGACACTGTTTGGAATATCAATTTTGCTCATGTTAATACAATTACAAAAACATTTGAACAGGAGTTTTGAAATTGTGCTTGACAGCGTGATTTCATGCAGCGATTCACACGACTCAAACGCAGAATTTGAGTCGTGTGAATTAAATTAAATTAAATTAAACTGGTTTAATAGGCAATTTTATTATTATGTATTATTTGATATTTTAATCCACAGAAAATATTAAATTGCCAATTAATCCAAACCTCAACACGCCAAAAAGTATTAAAACGGCGACCCTATAAAGGACATACTGTTTAAAGTGAACTCATACTATATAGTAATTGGGTGTAAGGAGGGTCGGCTTTAAAACCCCCCTTCGCGTGTGATAAGACTTTTTCAATTTCTCAAATATAATTAACTTTTTCAAATTTGTTTTTATAATTAAATTAAAAATTACTAAATTAATTCATCAACATTGATGAATTACTGTCTTTGATGGGAAACATTGAATTCCAATTAAAGTGACACTTGATGGTATTGTGACACTGCTTAGACTTCTACATCCATTGAAACAATATTTACTAATTGATTTTTCATTTGATGATATTGTGACACTGCTCAGACGACAACATCGATAAAAACACCAATCACCCATTGACGTCAGACTCAATGGTATTGTAACACTTGTCAGACTACTACATTCACTGAAACAACACCAATTGATTTAACACCTGATGGTATGTTATTACCAAATTTCTCTCTATCATTTTGAGTGTAAGTGACATTTTTAAATTCGATGTTTCGATTTTTGTTTATGTCAACAGTTTCAAAATCAACATTGAACCACACAATGCTTTCGATAAATTTTTTCTTATCTTTACGTTTTCTTTTGTTTAATTTTAATTTTTTCCAAAATTTCTCATCTCCTTCATTCCACAAGTAAAATGTTTCAACGTTTGGGAAGTATTTAATTGTTTTGGAATTTAATGGAATTGGGTTGAAGTGGAACTTCTCCATATTGCCACCAAACTTCTTGCATACAAACTCCAAGTTAATAAAGTCGTTGATAGTTTTGAGGTACTCCGAGACTATCATGATGTGATAACCAGAAAGTTCACACATTTTTAAATTCACAGTTTTTCGGTGTTTATTTTTTTTAAATTCGTCTTTGCAAACATTTATAAAAAAATATTAACACGTTGGAGCTTCCTTTTTTCAGTTTTATTTGAAAAAAAATAAAAAGTTGATGTTTTATTTTTTTGCCGAGTGTAAAAAAATTAAAAAAAGAGGAAAAACCTGTTTGAGCTCCTTTGTGGATTTTTATCCTTGTGATTTTAGTAAAATTAATATTCAAACTATAACAAAAATCACTAAGATATTTAAATTATTGTTATTTTGCACCATCTCGGAGTGTTTTATAATTTGCAGCAATTTACTAAGACGAAGAACGTTTGTGATAAGCATTTTTGTCGCCACTTGAAGTGATGTTTCGTCAACTTGATTCATATTGATTCATAGAGTGTTTATATTATAAACATACATGCTTTCAATTGTAGAGAATAGTACGTCTGTTATTTTAAACAAGATTAACTTCGACAACCGTCCCTAAAATTAAGTATCGTTATCATAATATTCAACGTTAAACATATTACTCAATTTGATATTGATGTAAAAAATTTTAAAAACGAACTGTTTTTGTTTAAACCTTAAGTTTTTATAATCAAAGGCGTCTTTTCCATCAAGGACTCGATCAGATATTATCGTTTTGAATTCAGGAGATTATTCAGTGAAATTGTTATTTAAAAAAATTTGTTTTGGTAGTTCGGCAAAATAGTATGTTGTGTTTCAATGAAAAAAAATTCTGGGAAAAAAACACAAAATAAACTCCAACTTGTTAAGTAAAATAATTCACCATTTCAAGCTATTTGGTTATATTGTAAAAATTGTAATATTTTTTAATTACAATTTATTAATTAAAATATTAATACATTATTATAATGCTGAAAAATCACCAAAACAGTCACAACCAATGATATTACAGATACCTGAATATTACAGATATTCAGGTATTTGTAATACAAACCAGCAAAGAAAAAACAACCGGCAAACTATAAAAATGGTTTCTAAAAACTATTAAATAGTTTTTTCAATGTATAATTTTAAAAAACAGGACAAAAAACAAAAAAACAATATTTTACTTTAAATTTATAATTTGCCTGTTTTTATTTTGTGCTGGACTATTTTGAGGGTATATGTAACGCTTTCCTTAACCAATAATTATTTTTTAAACAAAGGTAAAGTAAATTATTTGTTTCCAAACTCGATTTTTATTATTTACTCAAGAAACCTTTTAAAAACGAAAATTGCCAACAGACAGTTTTATTTTAGATAAATAAAGTGTTAAACAAAACTAAATTATCTAAGAGTTGGAGAAAGACGCGTTGAAAATAAATACAATAAACTGTTATATTTTGGACCTAAAATGTTTAATCACAAGACAAATGGTCCATTGGGATTGCGTTTCTTGTGTCAATAAATCAACTTTTCGAACAGTTGCTCTTTGCATGACACTTCATGATTATTTGCTTGAAATCGAAATCGTTATTCATGTTTAGTCGTTTTGAAATAAACAAAATAAATAAATTCAACCCAAATTTTTAAAACAAAACTATACTCAATAGAAATTTTATTAAAGGTTTTAGTTTATCAATTTACCAATTTATTTACAATGGTGTTTAAAATCATTTTTTGCGAATACAACTTCGTTATTCAAATACGTGTTTTGGGGCAATCATTTTTAATATAAATCCGCCTTCAGCTCTAATTGCTGAATTCTTATATCACAAACTTGAATTGTCTATACGTTATGGACGCGTACCCACTTGCAAAATGAATACAAAAGGAAGTTGTGTCAAATGGGTACACGGAAAATATGTGGAGGGGAGCACAGATGGGTTGTTTAATAGCTGTTTTGTCGGCCCTATTAATGCTCCATATTTATAGTTTCCACTTACTCGTGGTTATCGTTTCGCATATTATAAAAATCAAAAGGTTTTATTTTTTAAATAATAAGTCAAAAAGCTAATCATATCAAATAAAAAATTCAATTACAAAAACAATTGTTTTAATTTATTTCACTCAGTTGGCAACAAACTCATATTGATATATCTTAAATAATAAATATACTGAAGTAAGATTGGAATAGAAAGGTGTTAATTGTAGTTGTATTGTAGAGATATTTCGATAAAACTGTTGTACTTTATCGACTACCTATAATTAAAATAATAATATATATTAAATAGAGTACCGTGAAAAATCACTGCGAATTGTATTGGTCCAAAAATAATGTTATTAAGGGTTTTAAAACATTTTGGGTTATTTTTTTGTTATTCGAGGCTGTTAAAATGAAAAACGACAATTTTGTTCTACAAAATCTTTTGAGGCTAAGTCAACAGATTGTGTTAAGAGGAAAAATGGTGTTTTTATATACTTTTAGAGGGTTTTGTTTTTTCCTTTTCTAATTGAAAAACAAAACGTTTTTAGTTTTTTGTTATTATAAAAAGACAAATTTTAAATTATAGTTTCGAATACCCAAAATTATTTTATCAGGTAAAAATTTGTTTTGATATTTTTAAAATGTGATTAAATGTACCAATAATTGATATTGATTTATTCGTTACATCAATTTATGAAATATAATTTTATTGATCAGTCGATATCTCTGAAAAAATATGAACACATTTTAACAATAAAGTTTTTCTTAATATCGTATTGTTGATGAAGATTAAAAATTATAAATAAAAAATCGTTATCATAATTTTAATAACCAAATAATCACTTAACAATATAATTTTATTCTGATGAATAAAGTGTATTCCTTAGTTGCTTTCACAATGATTTGTTTTTCGAAAAATCATTACTCAATGTCTTGTATATGTTTTATGAAAGTCGTTGATTATTTTTTAAGTAAAAAATTTAGAGAAAGAATCTAACCCGTCACACCGTGACACAAAAAATGGTTTAAAAACAAAACGAATTAACAATATAATTATCTATTTCATAACAACATCTGTAATATCGAAATCGTTTAGTAAATACTTGACATGTTGGTTGTATGACCACTGGCTATTTTAATTTTGGAATGATGTGGAAATACAATCACAATTCACATTAAATAAATCAAACAATGAACTATTATTATAGTATAAATTTAATTAAAATATATTAAACATCAAACAAGTGAAATGGTTAATTAATGTGTATTATAAATTAACATCAACATATCAATAGCAAAAATTTATAATAAAACAACAATAAATTATAATTTATTTTTTAAATGTGAAACTATTTTTTAATAATTATTTTCATATAATTAAACTAGTCGATTAATTATGGATAATTTTATTATAAATTATCATTGTTTTAAAAGGGTTAATACACCAGAACCCCAAACAATTTAATTCTTTCGTTTCAACAAATTATTTGGATTTTAAATTGGTGTGATTAAATAATCGACCATTTGAAAACCCCACGCTCGTTAACCGTTTGTTATCATCAAATTGATTTATATTTAATAAATTTATCAATATGATATGTTTATAACGTGTTTTTGTATTTTTTATGTTTATTGTATTGCAATTTGCGTTGTTATTATAATTTCGAAGTTGAAACGTTTATTCGATCTTAATATTTCGAGTTGATATTTCGGTGTGTTTTTATATTATTATTATGTTAAAACATATTGATTATAATAATAATTTGAGTTTATTTA